GACCTTCTCCTTTTCCCACTCTTCGGAAAACAGGAAAGACAGTGAGAGTAAATGCTTATGCGTTGTGCACGTAAGTAAATGGCACCTATTTCACAATAATGCAGCACCAAAGCTGCTTGCTGGGGTGTTCCAAAACCATGCTCTTACGAACCATACTCATTTTACCCTGAGACACCAAAAAATACGTTGATTTTGAAGAGGAAAACGCAATCAATGAGGAAGGAATACAATACAACAAGCATAAGGGACAAATATACCTCTCATAATAACTAAACACAGCAGATTATATGTCACCTAAAAGGAACTCAACAACTAAAAAAAGATAACAGTTTATTATTTATATGCATGAAATAAAAAAAATAATTCTATAATTACATTTTCATGAACTATATAGTCCATGGGGTTGCAAAGAGTCGGACACAACTAATCAACTTTCACTTTAATTTTAACAGATGAATTAAGTGCAGAAAATAATAAAGTTAAATCATAGAACATTAGCCTTTTTAATACTAGAGTTTGAATCTAGTTTTATATCCTCAATATTTGTTGATTAGTAGCTAGGTCACGTCTGATTCTTTTGTGACCCCATGGACACACCAGGATCCTCTGTCCATGGGATTTCCCAGGCAAGAATACTGGAGTGGGTTGCTATTTCCTTCTCAGGGGGATCTTCCCAATCCAGAGATCGAACCCATGTCTCCTGCCTTAGCAGGTGGATTCTTAACCACTGAGCCACCAAGGAAGCCCAATATCCTCAATACTATAACACTTAATTAAGTATCTCAAGAAATTGAGAATGTATAGTTTCTTCTGAATTAACAAATCAAACAATGGCTTATTCTAGTAATTCAAATTCAAAAAGAACTCATATGACTACTTTAAAATACTGTTCTTATTATCTGAACAATTTTTAAAGAGTTCCAGAACTACTTCACTCTCTTTCAGTAAAAAATATATATATAATTAAATTTCTCTAGTTTTATATTTTAATATTCCCTTACGTATCCTATATTTTCAGTAACTGTGTCCACTTATCTCTCCACCTATCTATTCAACAGGTTTATTTCACACTTGGACCAGTGCTAAAATTTTAACATCAGAATTATAACACATGCATATAAAAATTTTCAGTAGACAGTATAATTTCATATGTACAATCTCACTTAAAGAAATATGTAAACCAAATCTCAACAAATAGTTAACCATGCTTAGTTTTAAAAGATTATCTGAACATAATCTATTAATAAGAGCTAAGAGAACAAGGAAAGTTATGTAAAAGAAAATGATTTTTTGTTTGACTGCTGTCAAGTCAGCTAATTAAAAAAAGTAAGAAGTGGAAAATTAGGAGTTCGGGATTAACACACACACTCCTATATATAAAATAGGTAAACAATAAGGATCTACTATATAGAACATGCAACTAAATTCAATATCTTGTAATAACCTATAATGCAAAAGAATCTGAAAAAGAATATATGTGTGTATATATATATGTATATGCTTATAACTGAGTCACTTTGCTGTACACTAGAAACTAACAAGATTGCAAACTAACTATATGTCAATTTTAAATAAAGAAGTACACAAAAAGAAAAATTAGAAGCTTAATAAAAATAGAAATACAAAATATCTCCATTATCAGTGAAACATGTTACAGCAAAACAATGTTAAATATTAAAATACTAAAATCCATTTTGATTGTTAATATAAAACACCAAAATACATCATGATATATACATGTATATGTATAATGTATCTATTTATTTAATTCTTTGAGGTCAGAGGCATTCTTTGGAGGCATTACCTATATGACCATCAGTAGATAAAGACTGCTTTACACCTGTTTAAAAAGAAAAGTAACTATTTGCTTCATGTTCACCCTCAAAATGTTCACTAACAAGAACACATCTGTCCCACCTTGAGATATACATGCTCTATATATCCTTATTTCAGATATTAATGAATCTTTATTTCACTAAAAATGTTTTCAAAAGCATATCTATGAAAATTTGAGAACAGTTTCAAAGAACCTTCCATGATCATTTACCCTGAATTTTCTTGCTAACTTTACTATTCTCACTCCATCTAAATTAACATTTTTGTCACAATACTCATCTTAAACCACAACTTAAATCATGTCAATCATCTGCTTAATAATCTTTACAGGCTCCTTAATTCTTGAAAATTAATTAGCATCTGAAATCCTTGGCAAGGCAGAGAAGGTCCTAAGTGAACAGGGGTTTGTCCTACTTTTCCAATTTCATCTTTTGAGTCTCTCCTCCACAATTTCCTGCCCTGCTGATCTATCTATCCATAGCTTTGCCAATTTCTTCTCTAACCCAGAATGTCCTCCTCTGTCTATGCCAGTCACAATTCTATTTCCCCTACTCACACACGCAACTTAAGCGCCACTTCATAAGCTCTCTCAGAAGCTTCTCCTGTCAGAAGTCCTCTGTTTCTCCCTCTCCCCTCCCTCTTCCTGCCTCCTTCCCTCCCCCTTTCCTTCCCTCTCTCCCTTAGGGCATGCCCCTTTCTTTTTTCATAACCTAACAACACTTAAGTTTTGTGTAACTAGTAAGGCCACTAAGGGAGCTCACAAATACAATGAATTGCTTTTAAGTAACGCGATTAAAAACATGGGTTTAATCTTATGCTCACATACTCTGTTTTTCCCTATAAAATGTCACCTCCAAAATGATACTTAATTATTACTATAAGTTTGAAGTTCCTTCAGTAAAAAATAGATCAAATATAGCAGCTATCACTATGAGCTGTGATCCTGATCATGAGGTATAAGAAATCAGATTTTTCTAGTGGATGTTTTTACCAATCCACTTGTGGAAGATATTTCAGATGCCAGCCAGTCCATCTGTCCAATAGCCTTCAATTTCCAATTTCATCAATTCCCAATTTTTCTTTACCATAAACTTATATAGAGAGAACCACAAAAATTAACATCATAAAAATGCAAAACGAAAGCCATACAAGTATGCTATGGTACATTATGCATAATTACTGGCTTTGGTATAGGCACTTAAAGATTATTCAATATAATGGCCTATTTGTCTTCCTGTTATTGTCTTCCTATTGTCTCCCTATTATTGGGTTCAGAGAAAACTAGGACATTTCAGTTCACAGTGCATGAAGTTTTTAAAGGTGCTAAATATCAGCATGATGTCTAAACAACTGGATAGCTAAGTTTAAAACTTCATTCACAGGAAACATGTAATGATCTGCAACAAGACATTCTCTATTCCCTGGCTGTTTTAACACTGTACAGAGTTCTTAAAGTGCCACATCAGTATGTTTTCTTCATTATTTGACATCCAATATAATAATTTTTGACATAAAAATCCCCTAGTCTATTAACTTCTATACAAAACTTTCTTCTCTATGGAATATGAAGTTCCCAATTAAGGAAATCACAGATTACAGAGTATATCTTGAACATATTAACTTGTTTCCTTAAGGTCATAAGACATACTTTTGACAGAATGATATTTCAAAAATTTAAAAAAGTAAAATAAATGTGATGTTTTTAGTGTAATATATGTAAAGTCTCTGTTTCTTCCTCATGCATTATTATTAACAATTTATTTATTTATCTGTTTATTATTCATATTTGAATATAAATGTCCTTAGTGATATACATTGAAAGAAAAGTACTTTTTAAATCCTTTAGGTTAAGAGTAAAAAATTAATTAACAGTAGTTTCGTGCAGTCAAAGATTTCTTCCTACAAAATCCATACTAGTGTATGCCTTTAAATATATCTTGCTAAACATCTATTTAAAGTCATGATTTTAGTTTATTGGTAAACATCCATATTTCTATGTTATTACAATGTTTCTCAAAAAACTGCCCATAAAACATCTGCTTGAAAAAAAAAATATGAAGCACTAGTTTTAAATACAGAGACCCCCAAGAATCAGAATCAGAGCCTGGGAATAAGCATTCAAAACAAGTTTGCCCATGTGACCCTGATGTCCACCAGACTTGAGAAATCCATGGAGTCTACCTCATGCCTCATTATATTCTTGGTGCTATATTTTAGAAAGAATAGTTGCCAAATGATTTCTTCCAAAATAAAATATTTTTTTCCAAATTCTCATCCTCACAATTTCTAAAGTGTCACTCAGAAAATGAAACCTGTTTCCAAAACCCCTGGTATTTCAGTTCAATCAAAAAATGAAAGGGGTCCTTTTTCTCCTTATTCCGTGTTGTCTTAAAGGTTCCTGAGGAACAGCCTGTGACACCCACTTCACACCTCTGGACAGACAGGGACCTCCACTTTCCACAGGTCAGAACACAATCTCCTCACATTAACACAGCCCTAAGTAACACTCGGTTCCCGAGCTTTCCGCTCTCCCAGAAGAGACGGCCCGCAGGCGGCCCAGACCCTCCAGCACGGTCAGCACCTCAGACAGAGCCCGGAGGATCGGGTCCGGGTTCCGCGTCTCGAGCCCGCCCTCGGAAAAGCCACTGGACTCTGAGGAAACCGACCCGAGACAGCGCAGGACACGCCGACCACCGCCCTCCGCGCTCTCCAGAGGCCAGCACCTCCTCCCCCGAGGAAGCAACCCTTGAGCCCCTCTCACCCAGAATACAAGCTCCCCCGCAACTGCGCTCTCCTCCCCCGCTCCCCGGCGCCTGTTGCTAAGGAGGCGAGACCACCCCGGGCGGCCTGGGCACCGGGGGGCCGACGGCGGGACGGGCCGGGAGCTCGCGGGCGGCGGGGGTGCCCAGCTCCGGTGAGCCCGGACCCCTTCCCACAGCAGGAAGGCGCGCCCTCCGCGCGGCTCCGAGCCGACGACTGCTCAGCGCGCAGAGGCGCGCGGAGCAAGGCGCGCGGGCAGGCGGAGGCCGGCGCGGCGAGGACCGCTCGGGTCACCCGCCCGGCCAGCTCGGCCCGGCAGCGCAGGCCTCCAGCCCGGTCCCGAGCCCGCCGGCGGGCCCGCGCGGCGGGGCAGGGGCTTGGGCCCGGGGAGGGCAGGCACTCACCATGTTGACTTCGGAAACCATGTCTATGCTGGCGATGTCGATGTTCATCCCCACGCAGACCGGGGGACCTGCGGAAAGTGCACGACACGGCCGTGAGCTAGGCTAGGGCACGGGCTGCGGCGGCCCCGGGGCCCGGGAGCCACCGAGGAGGGGGAGCCGGGCGAGCCCTCCCCGCACGGCCGCAGCTCGGCGGCAGCGGCCCCGGCCTCCCTCCTCCGCCCAGGCCCCTGCGCGGGGGGTCGCGCAGCCTGCAGCGGCCGCGCACAGCCTACTTACCCCCGAAGTCCGGTCTCAGACGAATGTCGTAGCCTTTCAGCAGCTTGTCCACCGTCTCCTTCACAAAGGACATGTTCCCGGGATCGTTCACGCTGCGGGAGGGGTGGAGTGGGGGAGAAAGAGCCGGGTCAGGCGTCGGCTCGCCCGCCCGTGCCCGGCGCGCACACCCGCGCACCCTGCCAGCCGCCCGGCCCGCTTCCCGGCAAGCCAGCCGCGACCCTACCTCTGCGCGCAGCACACCACCGCCACCAACACCGGGGCCGAGAAGATGCCGAAAAACCTTCCTCCCGCAAAGCCCCACATCCCTCCGCCGCGCCCCGGCACGGGGGAGGGGGCGCCCCGCCGCCGTCGCGACCCGCAGCCGGGGCTGCTCCTGCTGCCGCCGCCGCCGCCGCCGCCGCGCTGGCCCCGAGCGGAGGAGGGCGCAGGGGGAGGGCCGGGGAGGCGCGCGCGCGAGGAGGAGCGCGGGCGCGGGCGCGCGGCGAGGGCCGGGGCGGGGCGCGCGGGCCGCCGCGCTGCGCGCCCAGCCGGGCCCGGCTCCCGAGCCCGCGGGGCCCCGGTACCCAGCGTCCCCGCCGCCTCGGTGACTGCGGAGCGAGACCCGGGGCTCTGCCTGCTCGGCGCGCGGGCTGCAGCCGCGATCGCGCGGCGCCGGGCAGCGCCAGGGGTGGGCCGCGCAGCCAGCCGCGCTGGGCCCCCAGCCACCCGCGAAGAAGGGGACGGTCGGCGAAGGCGACGTGGGCAGCAACGGCGAAGGAGACGCTCTCCACTCCTCCCGAGACGCCCCCGCTCAGCCTGCTCCCCGGCCTGGCCCTTTGGCTGCGACCCCCGTCCGGCGGCGGTGCAGGCCGAGCCCGGGGCGGCTGCGGAACGCCTCTGCCCGCAGACCTGCGCTGCAGCGCGGGAGGCAGGACGCCGGGCCGGAGGGAAGCCCTGCCTCACCTGCGGGGCTCCGAGCCTCGCGTCCCCAGGGTCCAGGAGAGCCAGATGGGCAGCAGGATGGCCGGGAGCCCAGAGCACATGGCGCGGCGCCTCTGACCTGACACGGGTGGGCTCCGCTCTCCCCCGCAGTCACTGAACGTCTAACGGCGATACGGGGATCCCCGCTCCCGCCCCCACCCACGGGTTTTCCCGCCTGACCCATCCAGCCGGTTGCAAGGCGGCCCGATTAATTATTTATGCAATATAAAACCATTTTCTTAAATTGGTTCCTTCAACCATTTCTCTCACTCTCACCCCCCTGAACATTCCATGTGAGCACTCCCTACCTACTCACATAGATACACGTAAATGAGTGTTAAAGAGAAGCCCAGATAAGCAGGCTTGCTTTACTATCAGAAGCTAGAGTCCGCATCAGACATGGAGACCCTGGACTATCATTCCGAGGAATGGGAAGATAAAATGCCTTTTCTGGCGCAGCCCGGAGCTGTCCGTGGTTCTTAACATCAGACTAGGAACCTCGTGTTCTGCATGACCGGACCGCACCCTCTGGTTCTCATTTTAGAAGACCTCCAGCACCTTGGCCAAGAAACAGACAGATAAACACCACGGTCCACCCTGCCCTGTGTATCACCACTGTGTTCCTGAGGAATGTTTGCTCTCCCAGGGTCATAGGTTGTAGATTTTTCTTTAAGAACTGTGTGCTTCAGACTTCTAATATTGAGGAAGATGATTACACATTCCTACTTGTGGTCAACCAACAAAACCTGCAATTCAAATCCATTTGCTGCTTGATAGACTTCCTCGGGTCATTCCAAGAACTAAATGCTGCTTTTCTGTATTTTTTTTCCACAAAGCTTACGATTTTCTTTTCTGTTGTCAAGACTTTATATAGGTAAATATCTCAATCTAGACCCTGCATCTCAAGTTGGCGTGTTTCTGGAATTAGTTTTAAATCTATTGCCTTTTATAAAAGTCATCAATTTCCTGAAAGGTTGGTACTAAGATAGGTTAAGAGATAAAGTTGGGCTTTTCTGGTGGCTTAGATGGTACAAGAATCCACCTGCAATACCGGAGACCTGGGTTCCACCCCTGAGTTGGGACGATCCCCTGGAGAAGGAAAGGGTTACCCATTCCAATATTCCTAGCTGGTGAATTCCATGAACAGAGGAGCCTGGCAGGTTACACAGAGTTGGACCCAACTGAGTGACTAACACACACAAGAGATAAACTTAGCCTCCTACTTATTTCCTGAAGAAATCTAGTTTTCAGAATAGATACAAAATACTTTGCATTCTGTTTCCTGTTCATGTGCAATGCAATTATCAGGAATATTAGATTAAATCTGTATGTGCATCCCTCCATATTCATGTGTCAGTCTGTTTCTCCTGTTTGCATGTACCTCTTTTAGAGGAATGCCCCAGTGGGGATTACAGCTATAGAAAATAAACAGTGAGAATAAGGTGCTTGAGAAAAGCCAACAACATAGCAAGAGTGATTCCCCTTTCTATTAATATTATTTTACATGTTCTAAAATGTGAAAACCACATTACAAGTGTTATTATCATCCAACCACGTAATACCTCAGATCTTAGCTTCAACCAGTCTCTGAGTCTCTTGACTTATTTTTCATCCCAGCTGCTGCCTCACCATGCAGTTCTACAAGAGCTCCGATCAACTTTACATGGGAACATGTTCTCACCCATCACAACCACCACCCATCCACATTGCTTTTCTCTTACCTTGCACCTTCAGGCTTCTCAGCAAAGAGGTCCAAGTGTAACAGGACCTGCTCAGTACTTGCAAATGTGCAATCTGAAATGGTGGTAGAGTTAGCCATCCATGTGGTGGGCCTTAGATGAATGGAAGATGGGAACCAGGGGAATAAATGATTCACCCTCTATTTCTCCCTATGAAATGACCTGAGATAACATAGTAACTCCTTTCTTTTCCCTCTCCCTGTGTGCCTAGATCTCCTTTACCTTCACTCCTTTTTCAGCAGTATCACCCACCCTAGAAAAGCAATAGCACTTCATTTTGCCTTAGGATATATTTTCTGGTGAACACAGGGTACATCATAAACCCACTGCAAATTAAATTAATTAAAATTGTCGCCTAAAATGCAGTCTTTTTCCAGTATGGTACTGGCATAAAAACAGAAATATAGACCAGTGGAACAGCATAGCAAATCTAGAGATAAACCTACACACCTATGGTCACTTAATCCATGACAAAGGAAGCAGAAATATACAATGGAGAAAAGAAAACCTCTTCAATAAGTTGTGCTGGGAAATCTGGACAGCCATATGTGAAAGAGTGAAATTAGAACACTCCCTAACACCATGCACAAAAATAAAGTCAATTAGATTAAAGACCTGAATGTAAAACCAGGCAGTATAAAACTCTTAGAGGAAAACATTGGGAAAACACTCTTTGATAAAAACCACACCAAGATCTTTTTTGACCCACCTCCTAGAGTAATGAAAATAAAAATAAAAATAAAAAAATGAGGCCTAGTTAAACTTAAAAACTTTTGCACAGCAAAAGAAGCTATAAACAAGATGAAAAGACAACCCTTAGAATGGGAGAAAATATTTGCAAATGAAGCAACAAAGTATTAATCTCCAAAATATATGAATAACTCATGGAGCTCAATATGCAAAAAATAAACAATCCAACCAAAAAATGGACATCTCTCCAAAGAAGACATGCATATGGCCAATAAACACATTCAACATCCCTCATTAGTAGAGAAATGCAAGTCAAAACTACAGTGAGGTATCACCTCACACTGATCAGAATGTCTATCATCAAAAAATCTACAAAAAAATAAATGCTGGAAAGGATGTGGAGAAAAGGAAACCCTGTTGCACTGTTGTTGTTGTTGTTTAGTCACTAAGTCATGTCCAACTCTTTTGCAACCCCATGGACTGTAGCAGATGAATTCTTCACTACTGAGCCACCAGAGAAGCTCTTACACTATTGGAGGGAATGATGCAGCTGCTATAGAGGACAATATGGAGGTTTCTTAAAAAACTAGAAATGGACAGCAATCCCACTACTGGACACATACACTGAGAAAAATCACAAGTCAAGAAAAAGACACATGTACCCCAGTGTTCATTGTAGCACTATATACAATAGCCAGGACATAGGAGCAACCTAGATGTCCATCGACAGATGAATGGGTAAACAAGATGTTGTACATAGATTCTTTACCACTGTACCACCTGGGAAGCCACACTGGAATATTGTGTGTGTGTGTGTGTGTGTGTGCTTAGTCATACAGTCATTTTCAACTCCTGCAATCCCATGGACTATAGCCCACCAGGCTCCTCTGTCCATGGGGTTATCAGGACAAGAATACTGGAGTGGAGTATATTTTCTCCTCCAGGGGATCTTTCCAAACCAGGGATTGAACCTGCAACTCATATGTCTGCTACATTGGCAGACTGATTCTTTACCACTGAACCGTTTGGGAAGCCCACTGAAATATTAGTCAGCCATAGAAAGGAACAAAACTGAGTCATGTATAGTGATGGGAGTAAACCTTGAGCCTATCATATGGAGTGAAGTAAGTCAGAAAATGAAAACCAAATATTGTATATCAATGTATAAGTATGGAATCTAGCAAAAATGGCCCTGATGAGCCTATTCACAGGGCAGGAACACAGACACAGGTGTAGAGGGCAGACTTGTAGACACAGGGCGATGGAAAGGGCAGGACAAATTCAGAGAGTGGCACTGACTTATAAACACCACCACGTGTAACCTAGGGAGCTGGCAGGAAGCCCCTGCACAGCTCAGGGAGCTCAGCTGGGGGCTCTCTGATGACTCAGAGCGTTGGGATGGAGAGTGGGCCAGGAGGGAAGCTCAAGAGTGAGGGGATATGTGTGTACATATGGCTGATCCATTTGTTGTACAAAAGAAACCCGCACAGCATTGTAAAACAAGTATATTCCAATAAAAAAAGAAGAAGAAAATGCAGTCTTTTTCTAATGTGGAGACAAAAATCTAAGGGAAACATTGTGATAAGTATACACTGGTATAGTCAAGATACAAAAGTTGGGCAAGCAACCCCTGGCTGTCTTCTTGTCTCAGCTTCCCCAACAGCCTTCTGGAGGGTTGAAGGAAAACGAAATCCCAGGTATCC